CCAAATCAAACAACCTTTTGCACACAAATTCCAAGTGGAAATACACTTGCAGTGATATACCTGGGACCTTCCTTATGCATAAACCTGGGCTCACTGCATTTAGTATCATGGTTATAAGCTATGTTATTTTTCCTCTGGTTCTTCCAAAATGTGGGAAACTTTACTAATATAACCAATTGGAGGTCTTATTTTTCCTTCCCATTCAAACCTCGTACCCTGATCAATAGGTATTTTGAATGCCTAAATACTACTGAATCAGGTCCTTGATTAGTTTTTTATTTATACCACAAAGACCACAAGATTCAGAAGTTGCCAAGGCAACACCTGTTCACCCTCTATACATTTATGCTTTGATATGAAACCTCTCATTATATAAATGTATCACAACACCACTCAGCATGACAGCTATTTTACAAATATGCCTTCACATAACAGACAGATTTCTCTTAAGTGGGAGGGAAAGGCCGGAGTAAGGTTACCTTTTACTAAGGGAGAGGGAGGAGGGGTAAAAGTGGCATTCCAAGCTATCTATGATTTAGTATGACATTGTATCCTGAGCCTTCTATTACAGCCAATAAATTTTGTATTACATGGGAAAAAATCCTCAAAAGGGCAGGAAAGAAACAAAATAAAAAACACCAACCACACCACAAAAGTAGAGTCTAAGACTGAGGTGCTCGAATTTTAAGTAACTGAAACTAACAACTGCATATAAAAGCTTTACTGAACCACTGGAAATCTGATACTCCAGCATATTTTTTTTAGAACTAAAGACAAGGCAAAATTTAGTAAATCACAAAAGACTTACTAGGAACCTACTGACGCTTTTCAACCGTGATCTTGAGGTCTTCTAATATGGTACTTGGCAAAATACAAGTAGCCTTCTTTACTGAGCAGTACTCAATATGTAGTACTCTACCTACAGTTATGCTCCAAGATCCTTTATAGTTTTTCCTATTGTTTTTCCAAAATATAGAAGGTAAACTTTACTAATGTAACCAATTGGAGGTCTTGTTTTTCCCTCCCATTCAAAACTTGGTCAATAGGTATTGTATAGGTACTGTACCCTGGGGTCCAGGCTACTGCAGGAGGAGGGATCTGTTAAAGGTGGTTACTCCTACGTCTCCTAGACCCACTGAGTTTGAGCAGACTATAAACTGATACCGAATGCTCAAGACACGGCTGGCTGGCTGGCTTAGCAACAGGATGGCAATAGAACAGTCTCAGATGTACCCCTCCAAACTCTTCCTTGTGCCATAGCACCCTCTGTGCTGCCAGGAGTCTTTCCAGAGGCAGTATTACTAACAATCAGCTAATTCTACATCATCTGCAGACATTCCAGCATAAGCTGAGAAAGCTGACTTTCCTAAAGAGAAGATTATTACAAGAAAGAATATGCACGGATACCTATAAGTATGAAAGAAATATGAAAATCAGAATGCTATCTGCTTGCATTTTCTTACTTCTTCCCTCACTTCCATTTCTGGCTTGTAATTTCCAGTTCCACTCTTCTCACCGTGACTCTGCAACACACTGACCATTCTCAGCAGTAAACCAAGTAAATCCTTCAGCGTCACCAGAGGAAGAGGAGCGAAACTCCCACTGGGGGGCGCATCCAGCACTAGCAAAGCCATCGCTCCTTCATCCAGTCAGCTGTGCCAGTTCTAGGTCAGAGACAACCGCCCCCAGACTGCAATGACAAAATAACATCACTTACAGATATTTCTAATTGGATCTAACAGCAACTCCTCAGTAACCACAGAGGGCCCGTTTGTACAGTTTCTACAAGGAGAAATCCCTCCTCACTTGTGAGGAACGGCACTGAAAAACACCTTACATGGTCAGATCGTTTATGCGTTATTTTATCTGCTGTGCCCTCAGTGGACTGCTAAAAGCTCAGAGTGTGGACTGTCTTGGACCACTAAACTGCATCCAAAGCCTTGCTGTACTGTTTATTTAACTAGTTTCACTAAACAGTCACTTCCTGCTGTAATCTTAAAAGGTCAAAGTGGTATCAGATGTTCTGTGGATGCGCACAGAATTCCCAGTTTCACTGTTCTTTAGTTTTCCCACCCCCATGTTAATTCGTTTTCCATTAAGTGTTCAGGTGATAAGTCAAATAACCAGCTAGTGGCTGTTTCAAATCCTTCAGACCCCTATTTCCTACCACCTTTCTGTTTGGAATGTAGGAGACTTGGAAGAGTGAAAATTTTATGCCTAAAGTTCAAGGCCAGGTCACAGAATTAAACATAAACAGCCCACCAGAGAAAAAAAAAAAAAAAAACCAAACAAACAAAAAAACCCAAAAAACAAAACCAACCAAACAACACCAACACCACACAAAAAAACCCCACAAAACAAAACACCACCACCACCAAAAACCCTACACTTTTTATGTAGGATAGCAAGACTGACATCAGAATTAGGTATCACGCCCCGATCCAGTCAGCCCTGACACATCTTACACATTTCCACATAAAGTGGGCATGGAAACTGCAGAAGAGCTAGTACAGCAGAAAACATTCAGAGTTATTTTGCATAGGACTATGCAAATTCTTCATGAAGCTGAGGAGTTGAAATCAGAACAATTTGCTTATCAACTTCCACCAGCACTAGCTCACAACTAACCTTAGAAGACAGCATGTTATCCTGAACAATATTGCTGAACAAGTAGTAGAATAAAATCAATTACTTGCTGTAGGGACTTTTAAGACTTATATTTCCTTAATTATTGTCAGATATGCAGATCAACAAAAAGGAAGATTGATTTATGGATAAATAGAATAACTGTGACATTAAAATGTGGTGTGAAAAGACAAATTGTGAATAGTTCATTTTAGTGAAATGAAGGGAATATTCAGGAAGTGCTTGCAACCTAGAAACTGTCACACGCCCATCTGTCCATCAATGGCATCATGTAACAACCACTCCAGCCTTAATCCTCTTATCATTTACACCTTGCTGATCAGGATACATTCCCTCTTGTCCAGCTGTATATCTGTATTGATTAATGTAATATAAAGCCTATGTTGTTTGCATCAGCAATGTTATAACAAATTGATGTTAGCTGGAGAAGCCAAGTCAGTCTTTTTTTTTGTGACCCAGTGCTGCCTTCTCATCTGCTCATTGATATATCTTGTGGCCCAAACTGGCCCTCAACATTCAAAAAGCAAGGTAAACCCCAGACCTATCCCTGTAGAGAATCAGGAAGGTGAAATAACATGTTTTAGTTGCAAAACAGGCTCACTTCTGCAGTGTCAAACTACTTCCCAGCAGTGTCTACAATAACACAACTAACAATCATCATTTGTTGTTTCCCTGGGAGAGAAATTTGTGCCATTCAGTACCCTGCTTTGCTACGGAGTTTTGGTCTGTTTCATGGTAGATTTTTTTTTCCTAGGCTTTTGTGGGGAAGAGTGAAATAGGTTATGTTTCAGGAATTGAGGTTTCTCCGTGTTTCATCAGCAGAGATAAAAGAATCAAGAAATGTCACTTTGCCAAAAACAGTGGTTGAGATCTGCAGCAGTGTTCAGTCCTTCAGAGACATTGCACTCAAGTTTGTTTCCCTCCAAGTTCTCTTCCACAAAACACTGATAGGAAACCTGCATTTCCAGCATGAGTCTATCTATATTAGTACATAAAATAAAGCCAGGCATCTATTGCCTATCCTGACTGGAAGAACCATAGAGCAACAGAGTAAAGAACCAGTAAGTTACACTCAATAAACTACTCAAATATACATGCTCAAAGCCATTTGTTGTGCTTCATCCCTTCCCTCTTTGGTCCCCTCTGTAGCATACATAAATCAAACAGTGACTGCTGCAGCATTATTTCTTCTATGATTTACCATTACTCCTTTCCAAATCCACACTCCTCCACAGGTAGAAGAGCTATTATCCAGCTCTGTGTGTGTATGTAGACATAGGCCTTCCACTCTAACGAGAGGAAGGGAAGCCCCATATGAAAGGATCATAACCCGTCCGTGCTTTGCAAAAGCATGGCAAATGCAAAGCCCTTGCATCCACACTGCAGCCATGCACGGCTTTGTACTCCAAAAGTATACTTTCCAAAACAATACAGACAGGGTTAAGGAAGACCTCTCCCTTAAAAGACACCAGCCTCCAGCACAAACTGAAAGCAATCCCGGTGTAAGCTGCTGAGAGCAGATGTTACAGGAAGCATGCATGTATATATAGTATGTATAGCTTGTATGCATAGTAGGCATACCATATGCAAGCATGCATAAGGTATACACATCTGTGTTCTAGTAAAAATTTCTAGGAGCAAATTCTAGGAAAAAAATAAATGCAGAACATCAAAGCTCTTCCAGAGATAAGCAAACAATGAATTAAATTCAATTCCTCACAGGATAGCTTATTCAGTAAAACATAACACCACAATGTCTGGTGGCTTCTTAATTAAGTCTTAACTAATGAGTTCCCCACTAGTAACTTCAAAATTTTATTGCTGCTTTTTTTCAAGATGTTCAGGATTCCCTATCAGGATGGCAAAGAGTTACCAAAACACTCATTAGTGAAGTTTTTCCCACTGTATTTTCCCACTGTATTCCTATTGTCATTTAGGTTTAACATCAGAAATATATTCTTAAGCACTTCCTTGCTTGCATTATCATAGATTATCATGGATAATGCAAGCCAAGTTCCAAGGAGAGTGCTAAGTATATGAAACAGGTAATGAATAATCTGTCTAGACAAGAGATGCAGACACAATGCTGTTCCTCTTCTCTCAGTTCTGCCAGCTGCTAACAGCTTTGATAGTGAGTTGAATACTTGTTAATGCCTACACTTCTTACATTAAGAAAAAAAAATAATTAGCTTTGTCTAAAAGGAGAAAAAACTTAAATCCTACGAATATCTAGTTAGGGATTAAATCCCCATTCTACTAATAGGTTATAAAGGTGAGCAAAGCCAAAGGCTATTTCACATACTTCTCTGGCACACAGATAAATCAGTAAGTCTCAGGTAACACATGACACTCACCTGGTGCAGCTTTTGCCAAAACTCAGGTCCATCCTCCATTTGTCTTAAGCTTGGTGGAATGTACCAAAAGCAGACGTTTGCATACTCTGGCTAAACAAGAGAACAAGTGATTGCTTATGAGATGTAACAAATGGGACAGGGATATGTACTACAGCTTGTCAAAGAGTTCTGCTTTATTTTTTGGGGGAGGAGGTGGGGGGAGAAGCCTTTGAGTTTATATCCTTTTCATTAGAGCCTCCTTCTCCAGATCATCTTTTGTTTCCTTTTTTTAAAACTAGGAATAGTTTTAGTATCATCTATTTCTGTTCCTGCTGCCAGAAAAAGGATACCTTGTTGGGGTTTTAATTTTATCTTCCTTCATCCACATTTAACTCTGTTTTGCTCACAAAAAAAATTTGGTTTGGAAAAGTATAAGAGAGGCATGGAAGGGTAACTTACAGAATTCAAATTTGAAGCAACCTTTAATACATTTTTTTTTAGTGTTTTGGGCTTTTTTGATGGAAATTTCCTATTATGCCTTTTACACAAAACACACAAGTTTAATTTTTGTCACCATTTAACACTTGCACACCTAGTCATTTTTCTAATGAACAATGCCAATCTCCTTTTATATCATAGAGCACATTATACAGTGCTAGAGTGAATGATTTTCTCTATTTCCACATTTTATAAGACTCTCAGGACACTTCGCAGGGTATGTGCCATATCCTGAATGTATCTTGTCCGATATCTAAGCAGGTCTTAGGCTGAGACTCCGCATTTCTGTTTCCCTCTAGAGAAGTTTTGCCTTTAAACTCAGCAGAGAGTTATCTGCAAGGCTCATAACAAAAGCATCTCCTCACCTTGCATTATAAAATAAGGCATTTTGTGCTTATGAGATTTCTGTGTCATATATGATAGAGACATCATTCCCAGCAGACTAGATCCTGCTAATATGGAAAAAAAATTATTATTTTATGTGTACAGAGAGCAATAGTATGAGGAATAGATATGCCTTCTAATCCCATTCAATACAACTCATAAAACCACTACATCAATCTTGACCTACACTATTTGTAACTCAGTATTCAACTGGCATCTAAATTATAACATGGATTATGATCTCACACACCCCTCTCCTCTCCCACATGCCATTCTCATTGGTACTAGTTGAAAGAAAAAAAAACAAACAGTTAAAAGAGAGCTTGGTAGCTGAGTCACACCATCTCTTTACCCCACTGTGAATGTGGCTGCTATTATAATCCCAGGCAGTCTCCTGAACAAGTAGAGCCCACCAGCTGAGACATGTTCTTTCATGAAAGGGCACTGAGAGCTGCTCATATCATTTTCCACTTCACTTCAAAGAATTCATTAAATACAATTTAATCATCAAGAAGAATATCATTGTCAGCAGGAACAGAGCTGCAAACCTGCCGTGTGTTGCCACTGAATGGAATAAAGCTCAGCTCTTAAAGTTCCATTTCTTTCCCCAAAGAGCATGCATTGAGTACACACATAAACACAGACACTGAAAAGGCAGTGCCTTCCTCAGAAGCACTAGCACTAGCTTGCTGTTACAGGGTTTATTTTAAAACTACTTAAAATCAGATGGCAGGAGTAGACAGATGGCATATATTACCATATTGCCATCGCCTATATTGCCTTCTTGATTATCTCAGTTTCCTTTCACACATCAAATACATCATCCCCCTCTGAAAATACCATTCATCCTAAAAAAAATACCCCCAGCCATGCTTCACACTCTATTTCTACTTATCTTGTCACAGCTCTTATCCAAGCAGCTAAGCACTCACACCACAAAAGAGTTCAAGATGACTCAAGCACAAGTGGCATTTCCAGGGCATAGAGCAATTCTCATTACAGGTTTTTCCTCACTGTGTGTATCAGAGAATCATCTTTCTAAGCTTTTTGTCTGAAAACCAACTTACTTTCAGGAAAAGGGCTCACAGAACTGGGCATAGGTCCCTGGCAGCAGTCTTTCTTTGACTTCTTATTGCTTGTTCGCCTGCACTACCGAAAACTTTTTCTTAATCCTTGCTCAACTTCCTTCTCAGGAAGTGCTATTGTCCATACTACAGCACTACCTTCAATCCCACTTTTAATCCAGACGTCCCATTCCTGCAGGAACTAAACAACAGCCTCTGCTCTCAACAGCTTTCACATCTGGGTATTCTACAATAGCAAAAAAATGGACAGCTTTTAACAGACTTGCCACTTTACTAACCTCATCATGTGCTGTTGGCCTAAAATTCTTCAATCAATTAGCAATTTTCAAAGTCAAAGAGAAAATTTACACTGTATGAACAGTGTAAAATATTTTTTTTGTTTTGTATTTCATCTGTCCTAACAGGGAATACAGAGCATGTTATGTGTGTTCAGTCATATCTGTGGACGCCTACACTTATTAAATTACATACTTCAAATACAAATTGGTAATTGACTAAAGAGAACAAAAATCAAAAAACACTCTCTACCAATAACAACCACAGTTCAGTTCCCCTTTCACTTACCTCCAAAAGAAGCTGAAATCCCTCTCTTTTCTTAATTTCCTCCACTAGATATCTGTAATTAAAAATGCAGGGGTTTAAAGCATAGAACAAAACAATACAAACAGAAAACAACAAAAAAAGTCTTTAACTTTTTTTTGTTTTCATTTTTCTTTTTTTTACACTAAAGAAACTACAGAGTTAAACCTCATTTCTACCTGCTGTGAAAATGCGATAGCTATCAGTTTCTGGAAAAAAATGAAGGCTACAGCCAGCCAAGGAACATTGAGGAGAAGCCAAAATCTGTTCTCAGGCACAGATTTTCAATGGAGCCACAGAGCACACATTGATCCTATTTGCATCAGGTTGTGAACTTTCCCAATGCAAATTTCCATTGATGTCGCTCTTTACAAATTAATCCCTCCTTCTCTTGTTCTCAAGGGCTGATGCTGTGCTGCAATGTTATTTCATAGTCACCCTGACACCTGTTGCAATTACTGCTATCACCAGAACCTCCTAGTTTAGCCCAGAATTTAAAAGTTTGAGCATACTTGAAGCTCAGCAATTTTCCCAGTACTGCCCTAGTTCCACACTGTACACAACAGAGTACATTTCCATTCAGTGAGCCACTGCTTATGCACAATAATCCCTGGACATCCTATGCTAACATACTGAGATGAGAATTTCTTTTCTCTCTCTCCCGACAAGCATGAAAAACCCAGAAGTCTTCAATGGGGAGATGGGTTTGAATCAAAACTTTGGATACAAACAGCTTCAATTTATAGAATTTTTTCAAAAACGTGACCTCAACTTTGCCATGGCACAATCACACAGGAATTCTGAAGCAAAGAGGACACAGTTGGGACTTCTTGCTTTATTCTCCTCCCCTCAAAGCCTTCCAAAGAAAAACTCCAAAGAATTCACCTCAAATTCACATAGATTTTCCATGTCAACAGAATTTTAGTCTTCTACATGAAAATTCTGCTGTCTAACAGTAATAAAACTGACACGGTTAACTACTGATTTTGCACAAATCTGTTCTTCTTATTTACTATTTGGCATTTTTCTGCCTGCAGCTGCATTACGGGCCATCACTAGTAATTCTTTTATCCACTAGTTGAGGAAGAAAAATATTGCCAAAATAACCCCCATTGGTCCTATCCACATACCTGAAACTTGTCCCCACAGGGACACCTCTAGCCCAGTTCTATCTGCAATGCCTGCTATTTGGCAGACATGCTGCAGAAACAGGTTGTCTAGGGAAGCAATAAACAATACCCTAGATGGCACACGTTTTTCAAAGCTGTGCATAGGGAGTTGTCGCACTGTTTCTCATTAACAGGTGCTGTGCCTGTGACTCATTACCTCAGCACACAACCCAGCAAAGCAATTGCTGTGGTGAAGCACCAGTTCCCACAGTACGCAGCCCCAGGAGCTGTGGTGGGCACTGTTGAGATGTTTCTTCTCACTGTAACAAGTCAAGGTTCTGGGTCGTTTCTCTCATGACCGTTTAGATCCTACTTGGTGCAGTTGTTTGTTATCCGGCTGTTTTAATGCCCAGGCTACCACTTAGGTTGAAAGAGAAGCATGATGAAAGGCAGGTAGAAGGGTAGATACCATGTGAGCATGTTGGGGGAAACCTGTTTCTGTTGGGGAAATGCCTTAAGTAAAACAAGCTCGGTGCTTTTGACCTGTTTATTAGAAGATACTTGTCTGTGCTATAAAACCAGTATTCAGCAACATCAGCTGGCTATTCATAAGACAGTGGCCCTCAATTTATTTTTTCTCTAATAAATCACAAAGAGAAATCTATGCATGATCACTTTTTTTTTTTGAGGTCTATTATCGTTAGAGCTATTTCACAATATTTGATACTGTTCCCTCCTATCACAAGTGCCTTTTTTTTTTTCTTATATACCACCATCTGACATAGGCTATTCTAATGTCGGTCAAGTTCACAACACTGTTAATCATGTTCTTAACTACACTGCCAATAGCCTAAGAAGGCAGCCATTAGAAAATCCATCGTCCGTGATTTATCTTGCCAGGATCATTTGACGGCAGTGGAGCAATTTACTCTGTGCATCTTTCTACAGTTGACAGTGAAGTTTTATTATCATGTCACAGTTGCAGAACATCAGAAAGGCTTGAGTCTTGGTGAGGACTGAAGTACACAGACAAGTGGCATTTGCTGTGATTAAGCCTTGCAGAAAATAAGGGGTGGAGATCTGCTGTGAAAGTAGACATATGTCTGCTAAGAGTGAGTGTCAGAAGAGGAAACGCAGAAAAATTGCAAAGAAGCTGAAGCATAAAATGCAGAGATGCTTACAGTAGTTGTATTCAAAAAGCAGTTTACTTCTATACTTTTTTTAGTGTACTTCATAAGCAACAACCCTGCATTAAAAATAATTGGGTAGAAAAAAATAATCCAAAAAAAATCTGAAGCAATCAGCTGGATGCTCTACTTTAGCTATTTTAAAAGTAAGCCTTTCCAAATAGGTAGCACCATGATATTCCTGGGATATTTAATACCTGGAAAGCATGATACAACTCCAGAACAAAAGGATATTACTGGAATAGCCAATAAGCAAAGTTTGATCTATCAAAAATACATGACTGCAATTACCCTAGAACCTTTTCAGGTCTGCTTGGCTACAGGGAACAGAAAACAAACAAACAAACAAAAAAAAACCCCACCAAACCAAAAAGCAATATTGCCCTTAAGTTCTATAGTCAGTAGACTAGTTCCAGAAAGTTTAAAAATTAAATTTCTTCTTATGAAAAAAAACCAAAACAAACAATCAAGAAGGAGACAAGCCAGTCACTCTTTAGAAGTGCTACCAACTGGATCCTAATATTAAATAGAAATATTGATCCCATAAAGGTCATTAGTCACTACACAGTCAGTCAATCTTGGCCAATGACCTTGATAAGGCTGAATTCCCCTACTGATAATGGAATTAATTGCTTACTCTATACAGACAAAGAACAGTACAATGCTTCAGAACAACTTAACCAGAAGATATTAAAAAAACATATAATCAGTCAAAAAATGAGTGGCTTTAAACAAAAATAAAATAAAGGTCACAGCTCATTTGAGCTTTTCTGGTTTTGATTCTTTCTTTTAATTCCTTTTAAATCCACTCAGGATTTAGATCAGGGGTATTTTTACCTTTTATTTAAGTAACTTCATTATAGTGAGACTATTCCTTTAATTTTCATTCAGTTCTTTTTGTCCTGCTAGTTCATAAAAAAATAAAATGTCAATATCAATTATTTGACTTATGGCAATGTGTAGCTAGTCTGGTGAAATTTTCATTGTGGTTTATCTTGTATAAATCCTGAACAATCATGATACTTAAAGTTAACTCTTTTTAATGGGACATTATCTACCTTATTTCAAAATAATTTCTTCTACGAGAAGAGAAAACCAGCTGGGTATGGAAGCTTCTTCCCAGAAACCAAGACATAACCATCACTTTAGAGAAACACCTTCTAGCAATCACTCTGCTGAATTCACTTGTGAAAATCATTTCTGCAAGACCAAAAACTTAGTGAAACTGAAGAGGACGTGTGGGGAAGATTACAAGAAGAAGGCGTTTCTGTCCCTAACAGAACACACTGTAGACATTAAGAACTTCAACAGACTTGTGGAGAAAAACCAAGCATGTCAGAACAATATGCCTTCATACACCTCTACTACATCCTAAAATGAATAGTGTTGTATGAATTTCCCTGCATCATCAGCTTTCTGCATTCCCTTAGTCATGACGAATGCAGTGACAGGATAATGCCAATTCACTTATTGCTAGACACAGACAAGATCCTGGCACATGAGGCTGTTTTTACATTGACACCAGAACACACAGTTGAATTAGAAGAAGGTGTATTGGCAAGTCTATCCTATGCCTGGTTCAGATAATATAAATGTTGGACAACACAGTTTACCAACATCTACGCTTATTGCTAAAAGCAGTAATTACTACTAAATATTATAGCAAATGCAATAACACTAATTATTATTGTTATTACTTCCTCCTATTATACACAAACAAAAGGAGAGGGGAAAGAAGTAACAAGGTGGTCTGTTCCAGGATACGGAGTATCAGCAATGTCAACATTTCAGCGAATTAGACAAGAGTAGATGTATTCAAAACTGAGAGGCAGTACCTTGCCAAAGCCAGTGCCCTGTTTACTCTCTCCTCCAGGCCTGTTGTTCCCAATGCTTTCCACATCAGCCAGAATTTGAATGCATCCGGACGTCTGCTGCACTGAATGGACTTGTCACCAGTGTCATAGCTGACATCATAGAACTTGTCCTGCTGGAACAGGTATGCAGCCTCAGCAGAGTAACATTTCTTCAGAAGGCCCTATTAGAAACAAAACAGAGACTTAGATTTCTGATTACCTGATCAAACCTCTTCACAAGCCAAAGCCTATTTTTTCCTGTCTGTACCAACAGCTTATTAAAACAGATTTGGATGTGCAGGATACTCTCCAAAGCTAATGGTGTGGTTTAAGAATCCTGGATGAACTTAAACCCAGTGAGGTCAGCACTGACAACAAGTAAACTTTTTTATTATTATTATTTTCTCCATAATGCCACTGAAGAGTGGCAGGTTGAAGAGAAATTTTGACTCAGAATCTCAAGAAACCATGGAAGTGTGTATCACAGAAAGAGTTGCCCAAAGACATATATGAATCGGAAAGAGGGAGAAGAAGTAGACACCTACTTCAACTGCTCCAGTCTTTACATGGAAGGATGGCCCCTGAGGAGCTTTCTGCATGTTCACAAATGGCTCAATCTATTATTTCTTTGGTTAGTTGCAAGGAAGATTTTAGCCCCCAAAAAATGAATGTTTAGCCCTTACCAGCAAATAATCACTGCAGATTTAGCATAGGCTATCTGGCTCTTTGAGCAGAATCACCACAAGGAGATTAGTACAACAGCAATTTTTGTCTCATTTCACAGTTCAGACAAATTTACCATTTGAAAATAGACCTGAGAAAAGTACTTTCACATACCCTAACCATGGTTTGTTAATAAAATTATTTTTATTCTGCGATCGCCAGCCTTCAGCTTCTGAGAGGTTGCCTGGGCAGGGGTAAGCAGCAGAAAACAGATAATGAGTAATGTAGCAAGTTCCAGCAAAGAACAAGGTTGTGAAACAAAAAGCACAGAGGTTGTTATAGGTTTAAAGGTACAGAGGAAGAGAAGTGGCATAGTACTGGCCATTGGTTGAAGAATGAAACACTAAAATATATTCTGTAATACTGTAAGATAGAGAGAAAGGCTGGCAGAAAACAGGTTACAAAATCAAAGATGAGAGTGGCTCTACAAGGGGCCCAGAAGAAAGAGAAGGTTGTGGATTTGTTAGTGAGGTGGATAAGAAAAATAAACCACAACCTATAAATACTAGAATAAAAATTCAGATGAGTTTAAAAGCATGGCTAGAGCATCTGATTCAGATCTGGAAATATGTATTTAAGTGACAGCTGAACCAGAAGTCTTCCATTCAGAAGAGACAAGGAACGGAAGTGGACAGCAAGACAGAGGTTGCTAAACAGAAGACCACAATTCATTTTCCAGTTCAACATCACTCTTCAGTTTGAACCAATAGAAGAAGTATTTCACATTTCATTCTTTTCTCTGCATCTGCTGCAAGTCTGATTTTGAAAAGGCAGATAGTGTCTGACATCACTCTTAATCAAAGTTTCATATTCCCGTAACAGAGGTATGATTCTTGATCTACATTACAATACACTACTGATAACTTTGTGTCTGCCAATAAAATAGAGAAAAAAGGTCAAGATCAAAAAAACCCAAAAGATAATTAACCCACTGGCATACACAGAATAACTCTGCCTCTCTCCTAGACTTTTCAATTCCCTCCACCTACGCACCTATTTGTAAAAGCACAAAAGGAGAACACCACCAAAGGTTCCTCCAAGAGCTTCTGTAAGGGTTTGACAATCCCAATGTAATATTGCAGAATTGCTAAAAGTACAGCAAATTCAGTCTGGATTCTTCAGTCCAGCACATTCAGCCTTATGAAAAGACAGTTTATGTGAAAATTTGGGGAAAAAAAGAACCAGCATCTGCTCTCCCTTTGCAATCATCAGTGATAATGTGCAGTTGCAGCACAGGGTAGCCATAGCTGGAAAGACAGTGCTGGGTGCAGTGTTTTGTAAGATTCTCTCACCTACTTTCCAACTTTCTCAAAAAGGGAATGGCAGGAAAAGGACATTAGAAACCAAAGAATAGTCAAACACTGAAGCATCCATACTTTACAGGTTTTTTACAGCTTTGTGTTCTCTGGCTAGCAGCTGCTCAAAAAGGAACAGGAGTCATTCTGTGAAGCCATTGTGCTTAATTCATTTAAATATATATATATTGATTTTCAAGGAATAAACAAGTTTACTAGACATGGTCTTTTAAAAACAAAACAAAAAACAAACAAACAAACAAAAAGGCAGCATCCTCTATCCACAAATTTAAGTTAATTTCTTTGTCTCTTGCTGACTTAAATTTTTGCATAGTGTTTCTTCATGAGTGTACAACAGGGTTGATCAATGTGGGACTACCTTCTGTCTTATCCGAATGCAATGCAGCTACACAATAGAGGCCATCATAGAATATTAGTTCCCCTCACACCTGTCATCTGAGAAATAATAACTGTTGTTTGTCACAAGAAACCTAAACCCAGTTGGTAATACACAAAGACTGGGAAGTTCACTTAAGATCACAATACAGCTGCAGAGTTTAAAAGTTTAAACTCGAGAGTGACAACGCAACAAGAACAAATAGTTCAATGGCCCTGAGTGAATACTATTCACGGGAATGTATTTCATTTTTAAAAAAAATTAAAAAAAAAAAAAAAAAAGGCAAGTATTGTCCTACTCTCCTGGTGCATCTGAAGCTGACAAGACATGCTGGCTGATGATCCTTTTCCATCTGCTTATCTGACTAATAATGCAACATGCTCAAAAATCCTGTTGAAGACACTGCCTACTATCAATCTACAGAGGCAAGTACAGTGACATCCTCACTCATGTTAGCAGAGCAGACAGAAAAAGAAAGTAAAATCATTCTTTTGAATGAAAGAAATGTTACAGAAGAAAAGTAGAGGAGAAAAAGAAGGGAAAAGAAAGGGAACATTGCAGAACAGAGTTTGGGCAGGGAGGACAGCAGAAAAGAAAAAAAATCCAAAAGAAATGTTATGCTTAAGAAAGCAATTACTCTTTGATTGCTGCTGTCTCAAAATTAATAGATTTAAACATGCTACATGCTCAAGACATAAAAAGTCGTCTCAATTTTCCTAGTCAAATGATGGAAAAGCAGAAGAGGGAAAAAAAAAAAAAGGAGAGAAATATGGTTTAAATATATTTTCTAACTCAGTGCTCTCAGTCCCAAGAAGACCCCAACAGTTTTCCACACAGTAACTGAGCTGCTCCATCTGTTTAGAAGAATTGCACAAATTTCATTAGAAGCGCCCCATTTGACAAGTTTTGAGTATCTTTCTTCAGCATTTTATCTTTCTACCCTTTTCACAGTGACTTATAGTCAGTTTGCTAAAGTTTAGATAATGGAAATACTATTTTCGTGGAGGCCCCAGTCTACTGTGAAGTCTCAAAGAGCCTTTGATTTTTATGAAGTCTATGGATAGTTGCTGTGTGTTCTAATTAATGGGAAATTAATGAATAATTATTGATACTGAAACCTAGAGCTCCAGTTTCATAATTCAACATATTTTTCTCATTGAACAGAGTTACCTATAGCAAGTCTTCTGATCTCTTTCCATTTCCATTGCTAGTTAAAAGTGAATTTCAATTTCATTAACAAAATATCTTCCAAGACAAACATCTCCCTGATTTGCCTTATCTGAAGCAGTACGAACATCATACTTGAAAATTCTCAAAAGCAGTGCAGTGTGAAAGGCCATTCTAGGAATTCACTTTAAGAAGTGAGAAGAACTCTCAGTCGTACTAACCCCAAGTGAAAAGCAATGAGAATAGGGTATTTCTTGCAGGTGCCCTGGAAAGGAATCGGGGAGGTAGATATCTCTATGATATTGCTAATGATGAGGGAGAGATTACACTGTAGATGGCTACCATCACCTTAATCAATTAAATTCATGCTAAACTGAGATTTAACTAGCTACACTGAGACTTTATTCTTAAGTAATAAGTGAAAATTCTGCTCATTGCTTAGAACTGTTTCTTAATTACCTAACCAAGTGCTTCACTCTAACGAGTCACTGGCAGTGATGGTAAACAATAGTTCTCTATTTATATGGTGATAATATTTACACTGATATGGATTACAGCAAGGACAAATTCTAGTAGCTCTGTGGTTTTAAGGGAATATGTACAACCCAAGACTGATTCATAGCATTTTAAGAACATATGAGACCAAAACTGACTTCACTAATGTTTTGAGATTATTGCTCTATCTAACTTTGTGTTTAAACAGTCACTGCAATTCATGCCTCAGCAATAAAAGTGTTTTCTGAGTAAGACTATCTTATTAGAGAAGTGATGAAAGTTACTCAGGGCATGGCAGTGAAAAAGGAATAACTGTGCACCTCTTGAGTCCTTTAAGTACTGAAGAACTACTGTCATTGATCTGAGCTTTTACAGATGATTAACTAATATCTCTTTCCTTTGGTGAAAATGCTTCTCCCATCTAATCAAGTCAAACACATATTTTTCTTTTCTATCTCTACCTTCTTTGGAAATATTCCAGTTTTGTTTCACTAAGGCTGGAAGATACTCTTTTATCAGCATTTCACTGCAGTTAATTAAGTCTATTAATAATGCTAAACCATACTGGGGCTAAGTGGAAAAAAACCCCAAACCAAACCAAACTAGTCACTATTACTTTTCCTAATGGGAAATTACAGCATTACCACCACAACTGAAATGTGATGACATCTTCTAAAGGTTATCTTTTCATATAGAAAGTATGAGAGAGAGAAAGAAAAACTGAAGGGGATTAATTTGTTTAAATACAATTAACTAAGCCTAATTCTGAGGTATTCCACAGTTTCAAAATGGACCTCAAAGCAAATGGGAAGACAGAGTAACAGAACTTCCTTAATCAGTCTTTCAAAGGGAGATAAGACCTGATTCATGAACATGACTTAACATTCACAATTAACATTTTGTTGCTCTGATTTCTTGCAGAATTCAGCACTTCAGCAACTACCTGAGGTTCACTGAACATTCACCAGCAGAGCAATGTGTGCAAAACTCTTCCAGCTCCCACTGAGGCATCCTAACTACAGTGCAAAGAATTACGTTCATATGTAAATGTGTGCTTCATCTGCAGCCATAGGTATTTATGTACTTTAAGAGCAGAGGAACAAGCTCTCAAGTGAGAAAATGATACATGTTCTCTTTCCTTCTCTTACTGATGTGAAAATAGCATTTTTAATGGAAAACTGGATTCAGCTGCCTATTCTGGTATGGAGAGGATCAAAGTGAAGCAACGCTTTTCTGTCAAAGTGTCTTAAATATGCATTTGATCTTTTCTTCTTATGGATTTATATTTCAGCTAGTTAATAAGAAAGTACTCAAATTTGTACATGTGTCTCTATGCATATAAAGACTGCACTGGCACATACACAAAATGAGTAAGTGCCAATTTTCCAGGAATTAAACACAGAGTAAAATGCCCTTTCTACCCGATGCAGAGAAATCTACTTTCCACAACACGTCTTGCTGAACAACAGGATCTATGATCAGTGATACTTGTGTTTTCATCCCTCAGTGACCTAGGCTTCATATTTACAAATATTTCCAACACAACATCGCCCAGCTGTGGTTTAGAAGTGGAATAGGAGTGCTCTAAGAGACATTACACTGCATAGAAGGAGAACACAACACGGCTGCTAGAGCCCTGAAGTTGCAACAGTGTTTATAAAGTGACTCTAAATGCTCAAGCAGGTAGAACATTTCAAACCTCTTCATTTCTTTCCTTTTCCTTCCTTCCTGAGAAATTTCTGCTATGCAGTCCAATTACCTGGGGCTATATCTATATACTGAGGCTAATTAGTTAAAAATACAGCAATGAAATCTCCCCAAGCCTGCAATTAAGACACTATATTAATCTTAATAACTTCATTATGTTTGTTTTTCATCCTGGAATAAAGATAAAGTGATGGACAGTAATCTCGAGGTCTAATCCTCTTTAATCCTACAGACTCTAGTCTAAGGAAATGAGGAGGCACACTTCTCCTTGCTGTCCTGCCATGCCTCACCTCTGACTTAGAGCAATCAGCTCCAAGACAGTGCCAGTTAGCAACTATGGTCTTTGGTCCTCATCACTTCTTGCTGCTAAAAGTTGGTAACAAATTACATGGACAGCTGGCTCTAGCAGTTGAATAGAAAATATCAGCAGTTTTGACGGAGATTTATAAAAGTAATTTACAAGCCATGGCCACAAAATAGTGATGCAAACCTCCAGGGCTCCATATCTTCATGATGTTCAGTCATTAAGAACCTACATAAGGTGAAACTCAACCCTGATGGTGGAAAATGGGCATAAGTTCTAGCAGTTCTGAGTTTGAAATGGAGCTTGAAATAATTGACCTCTTACTAGTTTCTTTATAAAGATAAAAGAATTCCACAAAGATAAAAGCAGGGATTTTTACTATATTACAGACTCATCTTGAGATCAAAGCTCTGTTGTTTGCTTGCTAGACCTTTAAATTAGTCATGGCTTTTGAAAAGTCTAAATCCATCCGGTGATGAGGAAGAAATGGTAGAACGAGCAAAGAAGGTTCAGGACCTTTTCCTGCACGTGCTCTGCCTCCTATCCCTCTCCCACTTCGGTGCACCTGTATAAGGGGATGGGAAGACAAGCTCTGCCTACTTTAAACAGAGACGCAGTACTGCTGCAGTCTCGATGGATGACAGCTATTCTGAGGACTTTGACGAGCTCTGTGTTTAAGTGTTGCAGGCCCAGGCGACAGAACACTCAATCCTGAATGTAAATCATGTACAGAAGTTAACTAGCTAAGGTACCAGCTGCGAAATTTGACCACTTGTGAATACAATTACTTGGATCATTTTCACCCTGCTCTCTTATTCACCCTTTATTAAAATTAATTTAGTGGTGAAATTCAAAATAATATAATTTAGCCTTTGCACTGTGGTATAGTAAAAATTACTTGTAGCTGTTTTCTAATTATTTCCACTTCCATATAACAGCAGTGACAGCCTATTGCAATAAAAAAAAAAAAAAAAAAGGACAGGAGGACTTACAGAGTTGTCTTTCACCAGAAGAGCACAGCACTGGATTCCTGCCAGCAACATTTTATGGGGATTCCAGGCAACAGAATCAGCCCTGTGAAAATTTTAAATTGCACTTATAATCATTTGTACTAAAGAATCAAAAATGGCCAAACAATCCAAGCAGACAAATCAGATTTCCCATCCCCCCACTCCCACCACAGGTTCACAAATCTCTCCAAGTAATTTCTATGTATGGAAGCCAATAGGCCACACAACTACCACCTCAATCCCTGGTAAGTAAGACCATGAACTAAACTGACTTACCTGTGGATGCCATGCAGAAGTCTGCAGTGCTTCCTTGATATCAAAGCCGAGCCACCCCAAGAAGCCTGTTGGAATATTTATAGAGCCAAGACAATATTATTTGCATAAAGTTCTTTTCATAATACTTCAACTAATAATTTCTAAAGATGTCTTATTTAAAACTTAGTTTACTACATGGTCAGTGGGCTAAATTTTGCTTTTAGCATCATCTACTGAAATAAAAGTTGGCAGCCTGGGGCTGTGCCTAAAACAGAGGTGTTGATGGTTTATGCCTCTGCATAAGCCATGAACTAGACTGGCCCATCTGTGTAAGCAAGGCAATTAACTGAAATGTCCTTGTATAGCCAGACTCGTCACTGATACCGAATAGAGTTGCTTCCTTTCCCCTAGCCTGAACCTCAGCAGTGAGAGCAGAAAGCCTCATTTTGTGTATCTTCTTCCTGCTTGCCATTTCCTTTTTGAGAAATTCACAAGGAAACAGCAGAGAATGAAAATCTCTGCTAGTTGCAAAGTCCAGGCTTGGATTTTCCACAGATATGAAAAGCAAAGTCAGGGAGTGGGCAACAGCAGCATTTCTGTTACCAGCAACCCAACTGACCTTAAAATGGTTTAAGACTTATCACATCTCCCTCAGGTCAGTTAACAATTAATTGTGTACTCTGAGAGTCATTTAGGCCTTCTCTGTAGAGAAGAACTCTCTACGGCATCTCCTTATTGAGTGTCATCTACTCTAGACACCCACCTTTGGGTGACACCTTTTGCAGGTATACCTCTCCATGGACTATAGAAGGAACTCAGACAGCAAGCTTTAATGACACAATTTTAATTTCTGGACAACCAGAGTCAGGGAATGTGATCCTTACGCATGAACTCTGCAAGGATCAGATTTCACCCATCAGGTGCTGTGAATCTTCAGTTCTCAGACAACAATACTTATCCACAGGGGAAAGTTGGAGAGATCATGCAAACAGCAGACATGTCATACAGTGCATTTGAGAAATTACTGATAAATAAATAAATAAGAGGATTTTTAATGCTCATGCAGGTAGAATACACTTAAACAAACTACTGTGAAGTAAGCAAGGCTTTTCAGAGATGCACAGAAGGCATCAGTCCCCAAAACATCTGGACTCAGCTTATTTTAAAAAAAAGATTCATACATTTTGTGCTAATGAAGAGGGAGGGGGGGGAAATCCTTGAGGTAAAGGTTCCTGACCTAAGCATGGAAAATATATGCTTGTTTAGCTTCTATTATTTTTCTTTTCCTTGAAAAAAACAGATGTGATAGATGACATACAAATTTAGCATCAGTATTTGCTTCATAGGCCATACATTAGGAATAAGATCTGCTATGTCTGGGAGACAGGAATGGTAAAGGCTCACAAGGGAAATGAAAGGTTATTAACTTGTCTTAACACATCGTTCTCATTAATGCAGTACATTAATGCACCACATCATATTTTACATTGTCATGCTCACAACATCCTTGCCAAGACAAGGGCTGCCACTCAATCTACAGCTGGGACCTAAGGTAGGAAATGATTCTACCTGCAGAACCACAACTTAAAGCTGTGTTTCTCCAGCTGGTCTAAATTTGCCACGTTATGGGAAGACAATCAAACTGAACTTCCTATTCATAGACAAATTTTTCTCTTTTCATTCTATAATTCAATAAAGTCAAAACAATCACTAAGTTATACTCTGACTTTCATAATTTGTAAACAACCCATTGAAAGATAATAAATTTAATGAAATCTGCATCTAAAGGTGTCTGTGTTTTAAAAAGTTGAAATTTTCACACTGTCTCTGAAAAACAGGATTAGAAAGGCACTCCAGAGGTCATCTCAACAGTGTGCCACTCCCAAAGGCAGGATCAACATACTCATCTAATTTCTGTCAAACGTTTGTCTTTTTCTAGAGGTTATTAATCAATGAATACACAGTTTGTAATTAGTATGAAAATGAAGAATAAGATGCAGAGAGGCACCAGCAATTTCTGCCTCCACAGCACTACTTGCACTACGTTCTGTCTTTGTTTTAAAAACTACTGCTGGAGATTTAGAAGAGAGGAATGATAATCCAGGCATCTCCACCACCTTTCAATCTCTCCTTGAGCCACAAGGAGAGGACAAGATGAATTTGTGATCCATGTTTCTTCACCCAATTTAAAGATCAAGTGATTAGGGATCCAGGGCTGGCAAAAAGAAAAAAAAAAAACCACAAACAAAAAAAAAAAAAAAAAAGGAAACCCCCCCAAAAAAACCCACACCTAAAAAAAACAACAACAACAACAAAACCCACAAAAACAAACCACAAATGAGAAGACACTTGAGACACCTGAAAATCACTGTCTTTGGTTTTCAAGACTTATAATGATGGAGGCTGTACAATTTAGCCACTTAATTTGTGTTCAATGGTAACAAACTGCTTTCAATTTAAAGTGTCAGACCTAAACAGTATCACCTCCAGTCACACCTCCAGTGGTCAGGGGAATATATTATTCCTTTCTTTTTTAAAGCAACTATAGACTATTACGTATTGTCTCTTTGTCCTTTCTGGTTTAAATAACATCAGTGCTTTCCATCTTTCCTCATTGGTCATGATTTCCAGATATGGTTCTGTTTATCTGCATCGCCTTCTCATTTTCTAATCTTTCTCCTGTAGGTCCTTAACCTTCTTGAAATGCTTCTTTTTATTTGGACACAATCTTGATAAAGCAGATGGAGTACATACCAGAAAGAATCATTTTATGTATCTTCTTTATTCAATTCAGAAAGACATTTAACTTTGTTTGAAAATATCAGTGATTTGTGGAGTACTGCAAAGCCCAGATCTTTTTCTAAATATCTGCTGTCTAGCCAACAATGCCCAGCCTGTATTTGTGCACTTGATTATTACAGCTTAGAATACTATCTTTATTGAACTGTAGCCTAGTTTTTCCACTTTTTTCTCCAAATAGTCAAAATCTCTTTGATTTCTAATCCTGTCCTCCCACTGCCTCTTGCAGCAGTTTTATATCATTTTCAGATTGTCAGTGTATTCTTTTTCATCCAAGTCATTTAATGAAAATAACAGATAACTTCTAACCTAGGACAGACCTTTGTAAAATCCTGCTAGAAAAAAATTTTCCCCTTTCAGTGAACCGCTGGTAATTGTTCTCTGGGTATGATTTGCCCACCAGTTTTTCACTCACTACCAGAGCTGCAGCTTGGCATGTTTCTCTGGCTTTTTGATTAGATATTGCAAATACAGGATAAAGTTAACTGCTTCTCCTCCATCCATGAGACTACAGAAAGAAGGCAGATGGATCAAACATGACTGGCACGTTTTGTTGATGACAAATCCAGCTGAGAGCAATGCAGGGTAGGTCAAAACATGAATATTATCACCTGTGTCCCACGTAATGTAATTGATAACAAGGCATGAGAAAATTACTGTGTTTCATATGAGGCAAATCACTTTCAGCTGAATGATGGAAATCAGAGTGTTCACAGTGTGATTAAACTAATTACCCAAGCAGAGGCTAATAAGTCAAACCTGATTTTCTGTACTGGCCTCTAATAGGGGGGGGAAAAAAAGAGGAGTCAAAGTAAAGACCATCAGGGAAGAAATACTCATATATAGTATTTAAAGCCACGTGAAGACAATACATGACATACATAAGCGCTGGAACTTGAGTGCATATTGATGATAAAACCACGTTAATAAGAAAGGCATCATAGATGTAGATGAGAATACAATAAGCAACTGGAATGCTTGTATAAATACTATAATGTGAATCAATTAAGCTTGTTATAGCTCTGCACTTAGGCTGTTGAACAGCTTGACTGCTAGGACAGTTTGGACTTACTAGTATTATCTTCTTAAATAATATTTTCCGTAACTCCCTTTACCTCTTCTGTTTTATCTCCATGCGAGAGCTTATCTACTATTTCTGACCTTTGTGAAATTTATCTTCCTGAAGCTCACTGATTCTATGTTGATGTTCTCCCTTTTGCCCTCCCTAAGAATCACCAGCTTTATCATTCCATATTTAATGAAAATAGTTTCCCTAAGGCAAACACATCAATTTTTGGGATCAGAAAATATTCTGAAATGAGATAAATCATTGTAAATCTGGAAATAACACTAGTGACATTTATATAGGTTATTCTTAGTAACAGCTCATGAGAGCATTTACAGGAGACAATCCTGATGCCCATTAATGATACATGAAAAGTCCTTAATTAGACAGAACTTGACTTGGTTCTGTCTGTATTGTACCTTTTTTCCTTCACAGTTACAGCAGGCCCAAACGGCAGTATCACTTTTTATAACTGAGACTGTATAATGTGTAAATCACTCAACAAGAAGCCAAGCCTTCCAGAGGACTGCAAATTCTCAAAGCTTTCAAAAATATCATATTCTTGCCTATAAGGCTAGAAGGAGGTACGCCTGCTTAAAATCAAAGATAAAAATCCAGTTCTTCCCTGTGTTTCTTGTACAGTCTTTCTGAACAGCAGAAACTTAGTCTCACTGTACCTGTTCACATACTATGTTAGTAAATCCATTTCCAGTAGTACTGAGTGAAAAAATATCACACTATGAACTACAGTCTGCTCATTTTACCCCAATACACATGTACGTGTATGTTACCACAAACACATGTATGACTGATATCACTTATGTGGGAAGCTTTCAGTCTTTCCCCATATCCTGTTGTCTTACTAATACAGCTAGAAACTTTTAATAAAAAATAAAGAAACAGCCATCCACTCCACTCTCCATAGAATGTGAAAAGTAGAAAAAATACTGATAGAACTTCTGAGAACCACTGAGAGGTTCATAACACGAATCACATTTTAACAGAATGATAGGTCTTCTGGACCATAAACCCAATTTATTACTGGACATTTGTCCTTCTACTGGGAATCCATTAACATCTGACACCTGCAGTCATTTTTCAAAGAGAAAATTGACTTAAAGATGTTCACAGACATTTTTACCTTAGTTTAACATGAGGCAAAATTGGAAGAAGAAAGTTAACTCTTTTCAAACATTATCAACTGTCCATGGTTCAGAATACGGCCCAGGCTTATCCCACCCAGTTTTAGTTCAACTATAGGGAGACTACTTATTGTGCTCCTACAGCCATTGGAGATGGGTCCAGCCACATCTGTTCAACTCACTTAAGGTTCAATACAGATTCCAAACACATCCTTCTTTCCCTCAGCTGTACACAGACACACGAGAGACTGGCATGCAGTGTGAGTGCTGTGCTTCTGCTGAAAATCTGAGTGGTTGTTCTCAGCAGCACACAGCCATGAGGGGGCTTTGGAGACATTTTAAATACTAGGCATAGATTCTGCGTCTTTACCTCCAAGTCAATAAGAAAACACTTTTGACTCACTCACACAGTGACCTTATTTAACAATGTCTGTGAGACATTTATTTGAAACACACATCACTGCCTACGTGATTTTTCTTTAGATACCCAATTTTACTTTAAACACACTCAACTTTAAACAAACATTTAAAAAATTTAAAGCAGGTCTAAAAAAATCTTCATTAACATTGCTTCAGATTTTCTTGTTGCTCCACAACTCCTAATGTAGCAATTCTGGATTTGTGGCATTGCAATTAGAAAAGATGAAGACCTATCTTTATTTACTCTTTCAGGTGATAAAAAGGCTCAAGGATTATTCCAAAAAGATTCATGAATAGATTTTATTATCCAAACCTAAAATTACAAAGAAATTAAAAAAAAAAAAAAAAAGTAAGGAAACTCAAACCTTAAACATGAAACAGAATAATTTATGAATGGTTGAGCCAGAAACATATCTTTATTTTAACCTGTATGAACTGCACACCACAATTCTAATGTGTCTATTCTCCAACCAAACATGGAAATAATTCAAATTTATACTTGTATATAATCACCCTTCAAGCATTTTTAGGAGGTAGCAAGAAGAAATTGATTACAAAATAATTTTGAAATATAACCTGACAATAAAAAAATTGCTTTGACTGTTTGTCAAAACCAAGTTATTTTCTGGTTTGCAGCACATATAACAGAGACAAGCCAGAATGTACTTCTGGTCCCTATTAAAAAGAAAAGTTATTAGAACCCAACTTACTTCTAAAAAGAAATATTAACAGTCAAAGCAAAATAGCAATTATGAAAAAGCAGTGCTAAACAAAACCATGCAGTATACAAACTCACATCAACATGAAGCCAGAGGCCATGTTTTTCACAGATATCAGCAATTTTATCCAGAGGATCAAATGCTCCCAGCACTGTTGTGCCTGCTGTTGCACAGACAAGAAATGGTGCTGACCCCTGCAACAGAATTCAAAACAAAAAAGAAATTATCATTTGCACTGCTCATTGGCTCCAGTATACTTGCAGAGAATAAAGTATAAAAAGGTCTAGGAATATAGGACAAAGATGTGACAGTCTACATTTTAGTTTCCCAACAGAAGGTACTGCATTTAAAAGTGCTGACTCTTTTTAGTTTTTCCCATTGAAAAAAAAAAGAAAATTAATTTTCCATTTCTAGTTAACACCATCCCAGGGCATACTTCACCAGCTTCAGACTGTTTTGACAGATGCTAGTTTTGTCAAAATCAAAACACACCAGATATTTGACATCTCTCTTTATACACTGATTTTCATTTTCTCAGTCTTCACATTTCACTAGCATATTTGCTGTCATTCTGATGGATAAAATAAAGCTACTAGCTCAGACAGCAGACTACCCATGCAAGGAAAGGGCTCATCCCTCTAGGGTTTCCACCTGCACTATCTCTACAACACCCCTATTCTCTGCCTGGTGAAGAAGAAACTCCAGTCAGACAACACGATTTGCCTTCAGCAGCATTGGCACATCCCATGACAGGGGCAGGCACCGCTGCCTGATCCCAGGCCTGACCTACAGCACAGCGCTATTCCCTTGCTCCTACTCCTGTCTAGAAAACAGAAGGGCTGTAAGATGGTAACTGAACGTTAGGAGAGATCACTGGAAATCTCAAACAGTTTTAAGGTCAGGCAGCTGGGATAAGGAAAACTTTCATCAGGTTGCAGTCTCAGGCAACCACTGTAAGCCATCCATTTTTGTTCCAGTGGTTTTGCTCATTGTTTTCCATTCAACTAATAGCAGGGGTGCAATTACCTAGCAGGCTAGGTCACATACCCTTGCAGATCTGTGTAGCTGTGCCTACTTAGGAGCAGAAACTGAAACAATGAGAAGAACTGGTGGAGTCTGTAACAACCCCTTGAAATTGAGGGTACAAATCCCTGCTGAAGGAACTGGTCTGCACGTTTCAGCATCTGGCCTACAGCAGGACAACACAGTTATTGGTAAGAGACACTGAAGTTGCTGTCTGGAATCACTGAAGCTCATTTGCAGTGAATTAAATCTTTCAGATGATGTAAGGCTGTCTGCTCATGTAACTCAATGTGGCTTAGTGAAAACAGACATCAGCTGAAAAAAAATCAAACTCTACACAAGTCTTTCATATATCTTCCCTCAACTGAAATCTGGTCTCTCTCTCTTTTTTTTTTTTTTAAAAAAAAAAAAAGTTTTTTTGAAAAAAATTTTTTTGAAGAAAAAAAAAGTGTTGCCACTTTCAAACATCTACAGAGACAGATAGGCTTGATTCACATTTGCACTCTGACAGTTTTATACTTCTTTACAGTGTAGAAGACTATTAGATTGGTACTTAATTATGAGTTATTTGTATTTTAAAATTTCTTTACAAATTACTAAAGCAGTGACAAGTAACACTGCAAAGAATTTAAATTAATCCCATACATTAACAAAGAATTACCAGCCTACAATTCACGTCTTGGTCATTTATTCCTAGTACAAGCTACTGCAATAGTCAAATTTACAAGCCAGCCTGAAGCTTAAGTACGAAACACTTGCAAGTGAGGCAAAGGTGTATCTGATGCATCTAGTTTCTCTTAATGCTCCCACCAGTTTTCTCCCAGAGCTACATCAAAGTCAGAGGTCCTCAAGCAGCAAGTTGATAGCATGACTGAATATGGGGACAAGTCTAAGATCTCTTTGAATTCCAGTAATTTTTACCATTGCACATTTTCCTTGAAGAAGAGAACTCAATTTTTATTATTATTGACAATAGAGTGTAACAAATCTTCCTGACTAAATCTCTAAAAAGAGCTCTAAGACTCTTGCTATTCATATTCAGCAATCATTTTGTGGTTTTGTCACTAGCAAATACATCCTCTCTTGTCTAGAGTCATTAGAATATTTACTGCAATTCACTGAAGTGTCCTTCTGTAAAAGTTGTAAAGTAGCACTTTATCAAGGACAGACACACTTACTGAAGCTCTGATGAAATGAAAACCTTCCAATACACCTGTAACTTCCATTAAAATGCAAGTGAAATCGTGTTTTCCTGTAAGCAGAGCATTTCAATATAGAACATTTGTTTTTCAATTGCAGAGCACCATACTGAGATTGACCTTTTTTAAAAAATCGTAAATGCAAGATGATTTCTTTCAAATAACCACTACATTTAGTAGTACATGAACAAACAAGAATTCTGTTTTTACAAGAGCAAGGAGTTCATTCTCCTATGAGCCTGCTTCCTCTTGCTCCATTTTATTTCAGCCATTTTTTCCCCCGTCTTCTCAACTGAGTAAGTACAGGTTGTCTTCCTCAGATAATGCAAAGTACAGAGAGAGGGAAGCAAGAGAGTTTCTTAGGTCATTAGGGCCATTATGTATCAACAGCTATTCTATCTAGCATGAAACTCAGAGATGACTGCCAGGCAGAAAATTTATCTAAATCAGATCTTAGTGAAAGCTGCTGTGGCCATGCCAGTCCATGACAGGACAGCACTACCTTGGCTTTTCCACCAGCCACAAAAGTAGGTTTCCCAAGATAGGATTCAATGGAAGGTATTATCTATGCCACTGACATTCCACTAATTACTTTGCATTCACAGGTCATGGCTGAGCTCTGAATCCTACTGTTCTGATACACAAACTAGGAATGAAAATTAAGGTGAGCTAACCAAGCCAAAAGAAGATGCTCTTGGAATTCACATTCAGTCCTCCAAGCCCTCTAAAATAAATTATGTTGACTATAGTTAAACACTGTCTTACAGATTATAGGAATGTATGCTACTGCCCAAATATACACATCAGTACCTTTCTAAATGCTGGCCTTTGATTTCCTACATGGCAAGGTCCCTAAGGAAAAAGAGGTACATCTCTGTACTCTTGCTACAGTAATAGAAAGGACTGAATTTACCATTTGTAGCTTGTATGATGATTCTAGAGACTAAGACACCTTACAGTTCTTGCTTACTGCAGAGGATAGAGGAATAGCTGCTGTAATCACCTGAAAAACCTTTTTAGGAAAACAAATATTGCATCCATTTAAAAAAAAAAAAAAAAAAAAAAGGATTGAGGGCAAAAGAAATCCTGTAAGAAATGTGCTAAATACTGAAGAGCAGCATTTACTCAGGACTTTCATTAGCAGTAAACACCCTGTGGAATTTTCCCCCCTTCTAAGGGTGTAGAACCCATAAGCCTTGACTTGTTATACAAGTTTGTGGCAGAAATTCCTCCTGTAAGAAAGCCATTGTTACATTAACTGCCCTATTTTTAAGATTTTGCTCGCTCTTAGTTTTCCTTCCTTTCACTCAGACACAAGCACACAGTCTGCATACATTCCTCTCTCCTTCATGCTCTCTCTCCCCCTCTCACCTCTTTCCTGGCCCGCTGGACTTGTTTCTCCAGTTCCTCAGGTATCATCTTACCTCTAAGGGACACAGATTTAAAACTTTTTCAGTTACATTCAAATAGGTTGTTATGTACAGCACTACTGCATTTTACAAAGGCTCAGAGATCACAGTCATGGCTCTTGCTTTCTTACCTTTCATCTGTTCTGATGAAGTAAACATTCTCTGTACCGATACCCAGAAAGGAGGCTGCTTTCTTCATGGAGTAATGACACTGTAAGTGAAAAACATGGGGAGAAAAAAAGTATATATACAATTAAAACAAAAGAAATAAATTCCTCATAGGGAATTCCTACATAGGGAACAGTGACACTAAAATTAATTCAACTGCACCTAACAGCCATGAAAACAGCATATTCTAACACAAAAATCAAACGGATGAACTATATATCACAAAGTCCATCTTGTATTTAACAAAAACATACACTGAAAACTGGGGGAAATAAGGCAAAAAAAAACCCCATGTGTGCCATGTTTAAAATGTGGACTTAAAAAAACTAAGAAGCTCTATTACATACAAAGTTTTTTTAAAGCTGGTTCTGCATTAGAATGAAAAGTAGAAATTTTGAAGTGTCATCAGGGAAGAATTATTAATTGTTTCAAAAGGTTTTGCTAGACCTGAGTCAAAAGCATGAATGACTGTAAGAGTTAGGAAAGGCATGAGAAGAAAGTTCTAAAGGCTATTCAACTCAAAAGCCTAAAAGCAATGAAAAGCAAAGATGTGTGTTATGATATATCTAAAACCCCTATCACTTTATTCTTGTAACTTTTTTGGTGTTTTCTCTAATCCTCAGTTGCTGGCTACTGCCAGAGACAGGATACTATCATAAACTGACCCTTGGCCTAATTCAGCAACTCTTGTTCACACCATCAAAGAGCTACCCAAAGCCTTTCCAAGACCTACCAAAGCCTTCAGATGTGGTATGACTGGGACTCACAAGCCTTTTAAAGTCCTATCTCCGCAAAAGGATCTGAAAATCATGGTGTTGTGAAAGCATTACGAAAGCAAGCAGACTTGATACAGAACTCAGCACATCTTCAAAAGTTAATGTGGATTTTGCAAAAGGTTCAGTCTGGACCAGTCTGCATTTTTCAGAAAGTGAAGTTACTATTTTAGCAAAGAATTTTATCTAGGTCTCATCATAGAGACATTTTTGAATTAGTGCAGACTCATGCAGCCCACTTCTCACCTAGTGTTGAATAAAGGGCATCAGTCTACAAAGCCTGTGAAGTGAGTGTAAAAGAGGATGTTCAAAATGGGTGTTTATTTAATCAGAATGTGGTAAAATGACTTTGGTGAGAAGGATACTCAAGCCTACAGACCACTCCGTATTTTTCACAAGTTTTTTTTAGTGTTGAGCAAACATTCGTGAAGTATCTTACCACATTTCCAATATTCACCCCCATAAGGACCTGCTTTACTGTGAGTACTGTTATTCCAGCACAAGAATATTTTGTCTTATGCCAGAATAAGAGTACATTGATCTCTGCTTAATTCATCTTCATAATTAGCCTGGGAATTTAAGATACAGTAACCTTCTTAACCTGAAGATATTTAGATGTCGAAACCACTCTGACGAACCTGCCACATGCCAAATGCCTACCCACTCAAAGCAGTGGGGTCAGTTTTGAGAGTGCACAGCCTCCCATAGGACTAGAAAGTTCTTCTCAGAACAAAGATCATTCAACTCTTGGATTGTCACTGCCCTTCTTAGAAAGAATAAAGTTGGCTCTCTTACACATTATTACTGAAGAGTTAAAATAATGTGTACTGCAGCAACCGTGAAGATGTCTAGAATTGTTACTTCTCATACAGGAGGTGAAGCCAGGTGGTTAATTAATTCCATTGTCTTCAAGAGAGTTCACACAAATGCAGTTACTGCAGAACATAATTATGAAAAATGTACAACATTTTAATGTGGGGGCATGAATATATTAAGAGTAATAAAGCCTGTCATGCTTATTTTGATGAGATAGATGATCTCAAAGGGCTGTCTTTCTTTTCGACAAAAACATTTCCCCCACCATCACCCACCTTTTAAATAAAAGCACCTGATACTAGAAAGTAGTTTTAAGAAAGCTTAATTTTGTAACATGACACATCCAAAAAGCTTTTAAGACTCATTCATTTAGACTGTTACAAGAATAATAATGTACATAGCTGGATAATTAGTCTTACATTACATCAAATTACATCAATAATGGTAATAACGATTGTAAGTGGTTGTGTGTTGTTTAGTAGAAGTTTGGAGATATTTTTGACTGATTAGTGAATCACTTAAAATACAAGTTATCTCCATTGCTGATTTCTATCCATGACATTCAAATGAAAGGATGAATCACCAAGAATAATCAAATTGCTCCAAATTGAGAAAGCAGTAGACCTGCAAATTCAGCATACTAGTAAGCAGACAATCACTAAATCATGTATTTTATTATAAAAAATGGTGTGGGAGCATGGGAGAAAGATAAAACACTTGAGCACCTCAAAGATTATACCAAAAAGCAGAGGAAAAGAGAAGTACGAAGGGAACACCAAAATAAAACAGGCTGCAAGATACATTATTTTTTTTCTAGAAAAAGTATTTCTGCACCTCATGGAAAATTTTGTCCTTCAGTAGGACAGAAAAGGAACAAGACTCATACTACCATACTTTCTTTGATGAAAAAAGTAGTCTTTCAGTTATATTGATTGAAAACATGTAAGAATTTCTCCCCTCTCCCACCATCATTACTAGAAACCATTAAGCTAAATTGCAGTGCATCATTTTAAGAAAAAAAACATACCAGACAACATTTAGTGGCTCCAGTCACAACAGTGTCAACTAATTCACTTGTTCATAGAAAAAAAAAAAAAGGAGAAAGAAATATCCAGACAAAGGGTGAACTCAGGTAACTCTTGCCATGGCTATTGTAGTTTTGTTTCTTGGGAAAAGTTATTAAATCTGTAGCCATTTGCAGTAAGAAATTAAAACCTTTGATCACAAGATCAAATTGGAACAGTGGTTTTAAGATGTGCTGTTGTACTATTTACCTATACTAGGATGCAGTTTTTGTTTCCTAATAATGTTTGCAAAGACAAGGAACTTTCCGTCCTGTGCTCATTAAAACAAAAGATAAATTTGTATTTTCTTGATTTTGAAAAGTTTCCTAGAAACATGATTGCATAAAGCAATTACATTATTATGAGATTGTTTTATTACTCATTTTTGTCTGTTTTAATTTCAACAGGGGACAACATGATGAGTTAATGTTGTGTTCTCTCACTTTATTACTTTCATGATCAAGTTGCACTGGGGAGGAATTTAGAAGTTTCATTGCATCTAAAAAACTGCTCATATCAGCATGCACATTTCAGTTGTTTACACATCCTTTTCTACCCTCAGTTACCTCAAATTTAGCAGATTTCTACCTTTCATATCAATGCAATACATATTTGTGTCAGAATAAAAGTTCAGATGGGACTCAAACAGCAAAAAGTGGGAAAAAGGTGGGCTGATATCTCTAACTACAACTGTATTCAGCTCCTACAGAGCCAAAAATCATGCCACAAGAAAGTGGGATATAACAATTACTCTTCAACAGCTACTGTCTCAAGAAGAATCACTCTGTAATGGTCCAGCAAACGAACTCCACAGTAGCAGCATAGATAGCATTCACTGTGTATCACCACCATTTTAAGCAGCTAAGCATTTTACTTGCAGGAACAAGGAGCCTTTTTATCCTTGAAGGCCAAACAGAGCATATGAGGACCTTGGGTGGGCCATGCATTAAACATACATCTTCATGTTATCCAAGAGCATACAAAAAAATTTATAGCCCCATATCACGTAAAACCGAGTCATTGACAAATCTGTGCCTTCCTGTGCTCTGCAGCATGGCAACTCTTTCAATCCATGGAATGCCAAACTGAAACTTTGGGACTTGGCATCTCAAGGCAAAAATCATTTCATTTGAACACAGCATTGTAGCCAAGCCCTAAAATGACAGGAGGGCCTTGAGTAGCCATGTGTTTTGACTCCTTATCAATACTCAGTTCATTAAAGTCTCAAGACTTCTCCATGCCAGTGCTGCTGCCTGATTCATGAGTAAGATAAACACAGGTTGTTAACTTCTCCAGGATTTGTTTTTTAAACAATTTGCTTCTCCAGGTACCTCTTCATTTAAAACAAAACAACAACAACAACAAACACACACACACAACACAACAAAAACAAAGGATGTTTGGATGATGAAATTGAGTGTATCCTCAGTAAGTTCACAGACAGCATTAATTTAGGTGGGAGATTGATCTGCTGGAGGGTAGGAAAGCTCTGCAGAGGGATCTGGACAGGCTGGATCAAAGGGCTAAGGCCAAAGGTGTGAGGTTCAACAAGTCCAAGTGCAGGGTCCTGCATTTGGGTCACAACAATAGTATGCAGTGCTATAGGCCTGGGGAAGAATGACTGGAAAGCTGCCCAGTGGAAAAGGACCTGGGGGTGCTGGTCAACAGGCAGGTGAACATGAGCCAGCAGCGTGCCCAGTGTGCCCAGGCGGCAAGAAGGACAATGGCATCCTGGCTTGTGCCAGAAATAGCATGGCCAGCAGGACCAGGGCAGTGATTGTCCCCCTATACTTGGCACTGGTCAGGCCACACCTTGAATCCTGTGTCCTGGTCCCCTCACTACAAGAAAGTCAATGAGGTGCTGGACCATGTCCAGGGAAGAGCAAAGAAGTTGATAAAGGATCTGGAGAATAAGTTTATGGACTCTGGAGAGTAAGGAATGGCTAAGGGTGCTGGCATTGTTCAGCCTGGAAAATAGGAAGTCCAGGAGAGACCTTATTGCTCTCTGCAACTACCTGAAAGGAGGTTGTAGCAAGGTGAGGATTTGCCTCTTCTCCCAGGCAGCCAGCGACAGGACAAGAGGACAGAGCCTGAAGCTGTGCCAGGAGAGGTTCAGGTTGGACATCAGGGAGAATTTCTCCAATGAAAGGGTTGTTAAGCATTGGAATGGTCTGCCCAGGGAGGTGGTAGAGTCACCCTGGAGGTGTTCAAGAAACAACTGGGTGTGTTATTTAGTGCCATGGTCTAGTAGAATGGGGGTAATCAGTCAAAGGTTGGACTTGATGATCTTAGAGGTCTTTTCAAACCTAAATGATTCCACGATTCAAAGGCGTAAAATGCTAAATTAAAAAAAACCTCATAATATTGTATGACACAAACAGTTATGTATTTATCTACAGTGAGGACCATTTGTTACATATATTCTGAATATGACATATCTGAAAAGTTTCCAAAAGGCCATGTACCTTGGACTCAGTACAGGTGGATTCAAAATAAATATGTATGAATATGCCCACCTCTTCCCTCATAACCATAAATAAACACTTAGAAAATAGTCACAAAATCTAACTACTGAAAGCATCTGTTTTACAGCAAGCGATTACTGAGTACTGAAGACAATGTGGTTTTGTGAATCAAGAAAAGTATTAGAGATCAAAATCATGGCCTTGCAAATAATTTACCAATTTATTTTTGCTCATCAGCTATATATTTTGTGGTATTGGTCTTTCTGTTGAAGCAAAGGCATAAAAATAAATTTACTCTGGGGGCCAATTAAAATCTGACATGAAATTAAATGTTTGCTTATTTTGAGTACAAGAATATACATTTTATTTAAACCTTGCAATGAAATAAAACATTACTTATTAATAAAAAATCTACGTGCTTCACTTCAAAAGCAGTAATGGAACTTACTTCAACCTCATTTTTACCTCCTTAACTATTTTGAAGATGTGACATTGTGGATTAAGTATGAACTGGCACGTCACTTCTTAGACACACTTTTCAGAAAGAAACAAAACAAACCTAAATGTATTTTGCTTGGGGAAAATGCCCAAACAAACCACCTTTATTTAGGACATTAGGACTCAGTTCCAAAATATATGTGCTGTCTTGGACAACTTACGCAACGCCTTCATCCCTCCGGCTTCTCCAAAATAAGCCTCTTGTCTATTTACACTGCAAACTGTTTGCAGTATAAACTTCTGAGCTAAAATTATTCCATTAAGTAGATGTTTTCTAATACAACAAGGTTCTTGCTTCCACTGGGGCCTTTATATAGTGGAGTCAGAATTAATAACAACTCTGCACTAATCAAACAATAAACTCTTAAAACTGAAGGGACAGGGAAAAGAAAAAAGCCACAAAAACTACCTTCAGAATAAATGTATGAATGTAACTCAGTTTCCCACTGGCACTTTGGACAGATATTATTCAAAAACTTTAAAACTAGCCACATATTTTCAATCGTTTAAAGAACTGTCTAAAGGTTCAGGGTTGTTTTTTTAAGAGGCATATGGCAGTTTGGTTCTGTACCACAACCAGTATGTATTCAGACACAGGGCAGAGTGGGAGCTGCAGAGAGCCACCTCACAGGTCCACAAGTGCTCAGTTTAGTACAAATTAAAACACGCAGAAAAAAACCTTTGACATCCAAAACTTACCTACACTTCCTGCTAGACTTTATGTTGTGGGAAATCAAATGCTGCAGACCTCCACAACACACCGCAAGCCTTCTGCTTCAGGTTTGCCCCATGTACAACCTATTCTTATATCAGCAATTTTCAAAGCAGGAACATCTGTGTGTGTTTTCTGAAAGCAAGGAAGCTTTTGCAAGAAAATTTACTATCAGACTTCTCCACCTAGTTCCAGTATTTCACATCATAAACTGACGTAAAAATCACTGTACCAGTGCTCCATCAGATATGCAAATGATATAATTTTGCAGCTGTGGAAAAAGTTCAAAAAACTTTTTTTCAATTTTGTTTTTACCTCTTCTGAAGTGAACAGGACTAGTCTTGGCAGGCCTGAAAGCCCTTTTTCCTTTATCTCAGGACAAAATTTGTATCTTGCTAAGTTCATAGCATACATATTAGAAACAGAGCCACCTACAGAAAGAGACATACAAATATCACATTAGGCGCAGTCCTAGCACCTATCCTAAGTACTTGACCTATTAGGGAAAAAACAAACCATACAGTTAGCCTAGTTACACATCCATCACAATTTATTTCCTCCCGTCAAGGCTACAGACAGAAAATGAACTCTGGGCTCTGCAGCACACATGAAAACAAAGCATATTTGAATTTTTTTTTTTATATTTCCTGAGAAGTAAGAGCTGTGTTCAAGCAGTCCTTCCCATCTATATTGAAGCAATGTGAGTTTAGGTGTCTGCACAGAGCTCACCTGTGGCTGCACTATACAGAGCCCAGAGATCTCTTGGGCAACCAGGCCTCAGAGTACTATGGGGAGAAAACCATTAGAAAAAAACAACAGTGAGTGGAAACGGGAAGATCTGCAAGGTAAGATCTGGATGGGTTTTATTCACTTAAAGTTAAAAAAAAAAATAATAATAAAAACGCTTACGTAACATTAGCACCAAGAAGTACAGTTAATTGATCTGTTGACAGTAGCCCACTGTTTTAAGCAAGAAATTCTGCTATAAAAGCAAGGCTTCTACTAAGAATACACATCAAACTTGATGTGAAAGAAATTCCATATCATTAATGTATTTTAAAAAGTCTAAGGGATTTTAGTTTATTTATTTTCCTACTACTCATGTCTAGGTTAGAATTACTGACTTTAGTTTGGTTTTGGAGGGGAGTTTAAATTCATTTACTCATTTTGTTCCTCTTCTTCCCTCCAAAATAGATAGAAAATCTTCACATATAGCCTAATAATTTGTTATCTGAATAATCTGTGAAGTATCACCACTCTGCTTCATTGATTCAATACAGTGGGCTGGAACACTGCCTTATAGAACATTCGAAAACCATGGCTTATCAAGCAACTTAAGAAATATCTGTTTGGCTTTACCATTACATTTAATAAAATTTCAAAAACTCCAAGGAGTTAAGCTCAAGAAGTCCTCAAGAAGGACATCAGTTACGAACAATTAATTTCCATATAATTATATTTAATGTAGAACTGGTTTCATTCATTTACTGATCAGAATCACCAAATTATTACACCAAGTTATTACTAGAAACACATACGATAAGCCTACATTAAATAGCTCTGTTGGCATATCACAAGACTTGTGCATGCATTTTCAAATATTTTATATTACTCCAATGTTCATAGAGTTAATGGTATTGGGTGGTTTACAGTGACTCAGTTTGAGGTCTGAACTGTTCTTACCTGGATTAAATATACCATCACCTTCTTCCCAGCCTATGAACTCAATCATTTTCTTGATGACTGCTTCTTCCACCAAAAGAAACACAGGGGATACTTCGTACGTATATCTGAACAAAAAGAAAAGCATCACCATTGGTATTAAAACTACAGAACTCATGCCAAAGAGTACTGCTAAAACTAGATAAAGGCTTCTTGCACCTCTCTTTAATCTACCAGCAGCTGACCACCAGCAGCAGTAGAACTCTAAAGTAAAAACATTATGCATCTGACCCAGTAGAGCAATTGCTTTGTTCCTGACAGCATCACATTGACACTTCCACTCTCAAAGTAATACATCAGAGATTGCTCTTAATGTAGGTCACATGCTTAAATTTCAGCTTTACATTTGCAAGTAAACAGTAGACAGGTAACCATTTGCATTCAACTCTGTGCAGAATGTCTCAAAGGATATGAACAACTAAGTCTGATTAATTCATTTCTATGTACTAAGTAAGATAAAAATCTACGTTTAAAAGCACTGGGAAAAGAAAAACTCTCCTCTGAAACCCCAACTCACAAACAATGAAAAAAGGCCCCATCAGATTAGTCAACCTTCTGGTGAGCTATTAATTCAATGTGAATCAGACTTTTCTCTCCCCAAGTCTTGCAAAATTCCTATCTCTTCTGTAATACTGAAAACAGAAATTAGAAGCAAGGAAGCAAAAAAAGCTGTTGTTCCAAAAATCATGGTAATTCATCATCAAGAGGACAAAAAAACCACACTTACACACTTGGGTTTAGTGCTTCTGTAATAAAACGAGCCACTAACGAGTAATAATCTATTCCAGCGTAGAGCTGATTGAAAAATCTTGGGTGACCTGAAAATACAGATGAAAAGCAAGTGACAGGATATACAAGAAAAGAGAATACATCACAGTCCCTATGAGTTGAATGGCAATCACTGCAACCCACAATTCATCCCATTCTCTCAGTATTCTCTGGATTCATTGTCCTTTTCTTAGGTTAGACAATCCTTTGAAAGCAAATTTAATAAGAACGTTCAAACCTCAAAACGAGTCTTGAGAGATGCAAGTGGTACACAGAATGAATGTGAGTCATTCCCAAGTTTTAAAAATCAAAAAAAAAGGGACTGACAACTGAGTGTACGTAGTTGCTTTAAACAGTGGTTTTGAGAGGTCACTATGCATACTCAGCCAAATTTTGGTAAGCAGTACAATGTAGGAACCTGCTGATTCCAGGCAGCTGTGCCTGTGCTCCCACTAAAGTCTTTTATACAGGGAGAGAGAAGGAACATAACAGCTTGGGAAAATTTACTGCACCCTTAAAATGAGAAGTTAAGAGAATTTGTTTACCTGGCTTGAAACGCTGAGATATAACTAATTATGACATAATTTTATACTATTGCTGACTACAGAGACAAGTCAGTTCAACAGTGGGATCACCACCTAAATTTTAATCCACAGCATACTACTTTTACATGCAAAACCAAGTAAACTGTATGGCTCCCTTTATATTATATCTGGGGCCTCAATAAATGTCTCTGCTTATATTAAAGACTATTTGCACAACGTACTTTTATATACAACATCCTTTCTAAGGTAACATAGTGCAACAAATTATAATCCAAAGGCAATTTGGGGAAGGGAGATAAACAGAACATTTTCCAGTATCTCAGTACTTATATCTGTATATTATTAGTGCATTCCTTCTGCAGATCAGTAGTGCTTCTCTTCTATGGTTTTCAAAGGCAAGAGTTCACTCTCAAAATTATTTTACCGTTTTACTTTGTAGCAACAGTGACTGGAGCAGGGACTATAACATGGAAAGGCACAACTAACTGTATCAAATGTTCTTCTCCCTTTCTAAAAGATAGCTTAAGCCATAACACATATGAAATCCTGTTTCCTAAACAGATGTTGTTTGTTCCTTTTTGCTAAGATTGAATTATCCTACGCGTGCTACAGAAAAGTTAGAGAGAGAACTAAAGGTTCTGTAGAGGAGTAATCCTGCAGAGATGTGGCATACTGTCTCTGAAACACTGCAATCTCTCTTCTCATAGGGTCTGGATCAGGAATTACTGCCTATCAGCAAATGAACATCCTACAAGACTATTGCTCAAAAAGAACAGTAATAAATGGAAGGTAATCATCACTAAGAACATACAAGGGCAGTGATGGCAAATACAAATATCATCACTCAAACAGCAGGAAATGACATACAAAGGCCCTTCTCCTGCCTATTTTGCCAGACTGTTATATCATACTTGTCTAAGGTGACTTTCATAAGACTTTAAAATGACAAAATCTACCATTAATGCCAATGGCATCACAGTAATTAGTTTTTTATAGGCTTGCCATTATTACACATTTTAGTCAAACCTATGGTGACCAGCATTCAGTCAAACAACAGAAACATGACCAAGTGTTTGCATACTTGTATAGGCAAGCAGCAAACAAACATTCACACCCTCAGTTCTCTGAAAGGTGAACTGAGCTTTGTAAACATTATCCTGTCTTCCAAAGTTAGAATACAAAATAACCCCACTAGAAATCACATTCCTACTGGTTTTGACGCTGTATTGTATAACATCTCGGCAGAGTTGCAGGAGTTTCTGATGACATTCTCCAGTGTCCCTCATTTCCAGGTCAAGAATCTGCTTAAGAGTTTCGGGGGCTTGCCATTCACAGACCTAGTGATGGGGAGGGGGCAGACACCATCAGTGAACAGGTTTGTCAGGAGGAAGAGGTTGTAAAAGTACAAGGTAAGAACCACATTCAGCACTTTTGTGCTTTCACAAAACTTCCCTTTGCAGGGCAGCACACCACCAGAACATATATATATGGGAAACTGGTCTCATGGGATGCTGGTTTTATTGTGTCCCAGGCATTGCTTAACCATAAAAATGAGAATGGAGAACGCTGGAAGGCAGAACAGATAGAGGCCTGCAGCTTAAGTTCTATCCTTTAGCTAAGGATTTGTAATCACAGCATTTTCAGATGCTGTGCTACCAAAGGGTGGGAGCAACCAGTACATGCCCAAAGGCAAGGATGGTTTATTTGCAGGTCCTCTTCCCATACAGCCCCTTAAGCAGGGTTCTACAAAACCCAGAGCACTTTCATAATGTTGTCCTTTTGAAGTGGTACAAATTTCACTGTTTCTTCTTCTCCAACACCATTGCCCCTGAGGAGCAAACAATAACTCACCCCCACCTCAAAAAAGAAAAATCACTACAGCCATTTGTGATCTCACAGAAGATGACCACTCCACTCTGAGATAAAAAAAACCTCATTACTTTCTGGCAGATATGTGTGCTAATTATATTATTGAAAGGTTTTATAATATATTCTTTTTTCATTTCTAAGGCTGTCGTTTTATTTCAGAGCCAGGCATAGACTAGAAGCAATTTTGAGGCTACTTGAAGTGCAATAAAATATAGCTTATAAAAAAAATTGATTTATTGTTCATTATCTCCATTACAAATCTCCAACAACACCTTATTGCTTTACCTTTTCTGTTACATCATCAGCTTTCTGGATAACTTCTTCCATTATAATCTTACAGGCCTCTTCCATAAACTTCTCTCCTGCTTTAGAGTCCATTATTGGACCATTTAGGATGACCCCATCCACCAAAACAGCATTCTTCTTCTGGAGCATCTCCTGTTTGCAAACACCAACTGTAAGGTAAACAACTCACCATTAGAGCAAGGCCTGGATAAGCAAATAATAAACAAACAACAAAAGAATTTTTTCATTGCTGAAGATTTAGTAAACTTAACAAAAAACTCACATGGACTTTTTACATGTGCAAAAATCGTTGATTTTAGTGGAAGAATCTTTGCAGGCAAAAGAAAAAAATTATGCGTTACTTCAAAACTAGACCATTATTCTGTAGGTAATAATAATCTACTGTATTGTATCTACTGCTTTCTGTAGCATACAAAATCATGCAAGAGACCTTCCAAACAGAGATGAAAGTACAGTTCTGGCTTAGAACATGTTACAGCTGGATAAACAGAAATACAGTGAAAGGTAATGGGCATTTTTCTTAGCTGAAAATGTTTCCCTCCACATGCCATCCCTTCTGCTCCCCTTTTTCAATGAAATAATTCCAGCTTCATTTCCTATATCTTTGTGCTACTCCTTCTCACCAGCCAGTTCTCTTGCTCCAAGTCTTCTGCATTCTTTGCAAAGTGCTTCACTGACCCACGCTCCATGAAAATAAAACCTTTTGAGATTGCTGTCAATATCCCATACCTGTACTCCTTTCTGCCCTTATCCTATTAAGAGCCCTCAGTCACTAAATTACAGTAGTCTGCTAGGCAGATTATCTTGTTCATTTGCTTCTCCAAGGATGATCCCTTCCCTTTCCCTCCCCTCCCCTTTGCCCACAAGACATACTCTGCTGATGTGTTTCACATGCGCATTGCTACTGCCTCCTTTACATTACTTCTGAAAGCACATCCAAGATGCTTATAAGACACTGGCCAGTAGTCACAGCTACGTATCTATTTCATGTATTGATTTCATATGGCAAGATCAGGACTCCAGTTTTCATCAACACGAGTATGAAGACGAAAGTGAGACATTTGGAGATATCAAGGGAACAGACATTTGAAACAGTATAGCGCCAAAAGGAGAAGCGGTAACTGCCACCACAGCCAAATTATCTGGGTTGCAGACAGTATCTGTCCACTGATCTTGCCTTGGAATAGCTAAGATCTATAAAGCCAGGCAGCACTGCCATGAAAAGTTGCCTTCATCTACAGTGAGGATGGTGGAAGGCTGTGATGTACAGAGAAAGCTCTGTGCCCAAAACAACTTTATCTTCTGCTTTACTTTTTGCTGCAGTTACAAAGTACAAAAGGCTGGTGCCTCTTTCACAGGTCTAAATAAACAGCCATCTTTCCAGAAGACTGCCAGATACTGCAGTCTGACACATTCATCATTTGTATCATAATTACAGCTCCTCATGCACAAGAGGATATAGAAGAACAATAATGTTACTTAGAAAAGTTCATCATTTCAAGGTCCATTGATTGAAAGAAACCCTGTCAATCCCACGATTTTTTATTTTTTGAGAACTCAGAGAAGCTATTCAGTTCACTTTGACTTAACAGGAGAGAGATGACAAACAAGACAAAACTCTAACATGAGGTGGGACCTCAAGCTTCCCACGGTACTGCCAACAAAAATGAGACACATGCACACACATTTCTGAAATTATTTCTATTTTTAATCCAAACTGGCAATATACTAAATTTTGTTGAACAGAATAGCCTTCAGCACATTGTTATAGGATAGACATAAATGTTCTTATGGGACAGATAGTGAACAAGCAGGTAAACAGTATTAAATCTTTAATAGGCAAAGAGGGAAAATCACAGACATCAAAAATGTCAATTCTCATCATGCTTCCCAGAACACCACAGCAGAGGCACTGTAAAGAAACTGCAACTCTGAAAAAGCCTTAGAGGTTTCTCTCTGAAAACACAAGCTAGTAGGTCAACTTTGCAAGACTTGAAACACCAAGTACTACCAAAGAATTGAAAGGCATGAGGTCTTTGGGCAGACAGAGCAGAGACCATTCGTGAATTGAGAGTTAGTTATTTGATGCAAAAATAGGTGCCTAAGTACCATCCAGGTTTAACATAAACACTAGAAAGAATTTCAGCCTTAACATCACCTGGAAATGCTATCATCTCTATTTATGCCAAAGGTGTTCTGTTGCTATGAAACAATGACCAAAAAAAAAAAAAAAAAGAAAAGAAAAGAAAAAAAAAGAAAAGAATCTAAAAAAACCTATATGGAAGATGAATATCTACTGAAAAGCCCAGAAGTTGATACTTCCTTTAGTTATAAGAACAGTAGATGGTGGAACAAGAGAACTCACTAACTCCTTAACTTCTTTTTGTTCTGCTCCATGTCTCAGGTCTCTGGTAGAACCAAAGCTGTGCGAAAGGTTTCTGTTAGTAATTCCATCAGCCCTGTTCCCGTCATTTTTGCACAGAGGTACAAGACAAGTACTTCAACAACTTTACAGTGATCTTTTTCCAGGAATTATGTGAAAAGCAGAAGCAGAATTTTACATTAGTTTTTCTACCATGTCTTTAGGGGGCTGGGTGATAGGTCAGGTAGACTATCACCCTAGTCCCCATATCTATGTTGATACTCGGACACAGTCCATGAAAGAGAAAGGCAAAGCAGAAAGGTTAGAAGGAAGGGCTAGAAGAGAGCCTTCATTTCAACAGCATTTTACCCGTGCAAAGCTCCAGCAAAGAGTTCAGGACTTAGCCCATATTTTATTTCCTGGAATAATACTCCTTGCAATTATTTACCACTTTCTCAATAATTTTTTTGTTATCACTTATTTCAGTCTGAACTTGCTGAGGTAAATTCTGCCCTGGAACATACTGTAAGACCTTTAGTTGAAATTAACAGAAAACTATTTCACAATCAGCACTTAAATCAAGCCCCAAACATATGCATTTTTTTGAGGTAAAGGCCCTTCAGGTTTTGTAAAGCACTCCTGGATGTATACAGTATTCCCATATCATGATTTTTCTGCAAATGCCATGATACTTAATCATCTACTTATAACTGTCTGACTTATGAGATTTCCAAACTATTATTTCCCAAAAAATAGACGTGTTTCCTCTTGGTTGCAGTGAAACCCTGAAGAGGAAAACCAAGTAATGATGAATACCTGGAATTTCATAACATTTTTTCTTTTTATTACATTTTTTAAAAGAGTCAATGGCCAATTTATTGTTTAGACAGGTGAACCTCCAAAAAGGTTCTAGGTTCACTTTTTATGTCACTGTACCCAAGTTAAATAGCAAGCCTTTAACAACTTCTCAGAGCTCAGCTCCCAAGCTAAGAAACACACACTATTTTTATGAGGTAATAATACATGTTGCCATCATCAAATGCTCAAAATATTATTTTCCAAGAATTTTGTGCCTTTTATAGTTCTGTCTCAAACACACCTGATTGCACTAAAGGAACACATTTCACATAAAGCCCACTTCACAGAAACAGCATCTCATCACATATACTTCTTTTGTTTTCAAACATTTTAGGGAAACAATCTAGAGATGGGGCTGCAATAAATATGTTCTTTTCTACTTGAGAATACAGCAACAGACTCCTAAGCAGACTCAGAAAACAGATTTCCAGAAAATACATCAAATACAATTTCAGCCAAATGGCTCCAGGCTTGAAGCAGAACTAAAACTTTACCAAATGGAAGTGCTTTAAACCAGAGATTAAGGATTATTGACTGTTCAAGATATCCTTCTGCAAAACAGAAGACTCAATCCTGCTTCAATTGAAGGCAATTGGGCGTTCAGCCACTGGTTTCAGCAGCAGGAAAATCAAGCTCATGATTCCCACATTTCATCCTGAAAGAAATATTCTATTACAGAAGCCTAAGAATATCCAACCAGCATTTCATTTTTATGATCAATACTATTTTCCCCAACAAAAAAACATAAACTAATTGGAATAATGTTTAGAAAAAATAAACATTTTTTCAGATGTTTCTGTATCTTTATGTAAGCACTACCAAGTATTTTAAAAGCTGCATCTGTGTTTCCATATTTGACTGCTAAATCCTTGCACTACAAAAAGAAACTGAAGCATTGTACTTGGCCCATTTTAACAACATATTGTAACAACATTTGGGAGGGTAGTATGAAATGACCAGAAAGATTTATTGCGCACAAGGAAAATGAGGAAACAGAAGCGGTTGTTGTAAAAGAGTAGCTTGTGCTTGAATGCCAGCGCCAAATCCTGTCAGTTTACACCGTATTAGCACCACTGACTATTCAAGGGAATGCAAAAAGCTGGCTTTGATCGAAGGCTTAATTCTGTTTTGTAACAAGTGCAGTAATAACTGCAAGAATTAATCAGAAACTAATTTTAAATATCACATTCTGTATGATATAGTCATGGGTAATCTTTCAGAAGACTTCAGTATTTTCTTTCAGTGTGTCCAGCAAAAGAAAAGAAGTGAATTCATTGTTAAGGCTCCATACTACCATGTTTAATGAATTATTATGGTGCCATATTGTGCATCAAAGCAATAAAACACAAACCTATGCACCTATGTCTCACACTATGCAGCAATTTCAGTACCTTGGTATTTATAATCTTTAAAGACACTTCTGTTTCTCTAATCACTGCTTTCTGTACATATGAATGAAGTAAAGCCACTAGAGTCTTAACACAAAAATACATTGCTTCTTAGTCAAGGAGATGGAGGTTTCTTATAATCCAACATACAAAATGACTTAGTGTCCTGGTAAAGCTATCCATCAGGGGAAAAAACAAACAAACAAACAAACAAACAAAAAATAGGCACAGGTATAGTAGGGCTCTTGCAATTCCCCCTGTATTATATAATCCTGTTTGAAGGTTTATGGACCAGCCCTGTGTGCAGCGAACAAGTTGGGTGTTCCCCTCAGAAGGGCTGCAACAGCCCCCTCCCACAGGAACCCTATGACCATGAAAAGGCAGATGTGACCTTTGTAGAGCAGGACCCAAGGAAAACAGAAGTGCTTCTGTACGGGCTCAAAAGCCCCTGAATAGACTCATTGAGAACACTGCTAGCACTGAACAGCAACAGCACAACAAATGGGTCCTGTTCTCCATCCCACACCTGAATTTCCCCTTC